TGACACGCCTCAACAACACCGACAACGATCTTGGTCAACTCAGCAGCTTTCCTCTCGCTGTAATGACCTCTCTGAATAATCCTATCAAACAACTCACCACCAGCACAAACCTCCATCACAATGTGAACATACAAAGGGTCCTCATAAGCTCCTTTTATGGTAACAATGTTCTTGTGACCAGCCAAATGGTGCATTATCTGAATCTCCCTCCTAACATCCTCAACATCTTCCTTAGAGATCAACTTCCTCTTGGATATAGACTTGCAAGCATAGTCAACACCCGTTGCAACCTCGGTGCAAAGATACGTGGTCCCAAATTGTCCTTGTCCTAACTTACGGCTCAAGGTGTAAAGATCACGGATGTTAGGAGTCTTGTGACCGAGAACATAGTATGCTTGGTTGTCCATGTTACGTCGCATAAAAGATTCTTTCGCAGGAAGCACAAGAAGAGGACTCTTGTTGTTGTTGTTGTTGTCTTCTTTAGGGAAGTCTTGTTCTGTGGTCGGAGAATGAACGGAGGAAACGTGGGTGATGGTTATGGAGTTATCCTCGGGCAGATTGTTATGGCCCTCGTAGGTTTTGTCCTTGAAAGAACCACGGCATGAATTGCCCATGAAACTTTATATTCACAACTTTCACTTTCTTATTCTCCTCATCCAATGATCACTGTTGAGATAGAGAAAAAATAGACAAGAACACCAAATCAAACCAGAGAAGCACGTTTTTTTTTAAGAAAGTGATCGAACTTTGAATGAAATCTAACAAACTCACATCAGATCAAGAATCAGAACTCATAAGTTTTTGTAATTTAATCAAGAAAAGAAAAAAAAAAGACAAGAGCTCCAGAAGGATTATTTACAAACAAAAAACAATGAATGAGGATTCTGTAATAAAAGAAACATAAAGAGAAGAAAAAACAGAGGATCTTTTACCAGAATAGCAGAATAACAGGTAGGAGACGAGGAAATGGATTAGGATTAGGATTAAGAAATCTGATTAAAGTCAAAATGATAACAGAAAAAAGGTTTCTTTCTTTATATAAATATAGATATATATTGTGTAGCTGTTTGTGGTTGGGTAATAGGAGGATGCGTTGAATGATCAAACAGAGCGTAAAAGATTCATTCTTTGTGGATTTGTTATGATGATGTTGATGAAGGAGAGAAAGATCTTAGTTCTCATCACCTAGACGCGGTTTCCTCTCACCTTCTTCGTTCGTTTCCCACTTTAATTATTAATTAATCATCTCTTTTTTACTGGTGTCATGATAGTTGCAAATGGTTAATTTTGTAATGATATAATTAGGATCACTTGTTTTTTAAAATAGAATGATTATAAACCAAACGTTGTATTATTAACTTGTTAAGTGTTGGGATGTGCTTACAATGATTAACTACAAAAATATTTATTATTAGATGTTAGTATATAGTTAAAGAGTTTATTTATGGCTTCCATCAACAGAATAAACATTTGACAACTAATTGATTTTAAAAGAATATAAGGTTTATTAATTTGACTTTTCATATCAAGATTACACCACCTTTTTCATTTTGGTAGCAGCTAAGGGTTATTAGTGAAATGTCAAATGTGTTTTTCTTTTTCTTACAAGGACGAAAACGTGAGACATGTCATTGTCGGTCGGTGATTTATAAGATCGCAGCCTAGAATTGTCTCCGCACGTGGTACCAATTTAGTTTCGGACTAACGTTTTGTTGTTTTCTATAAACAATCTATTCTGTTCAGACAAGATGGTTCCTAGCACTAGCATCATCACAAAGATAAACCATACACTTTCCTTTTTAAAAGTTTTACCTCAATCAGTTGTAAGACTATAACAGCGAAAATATCATTCAATGACCCTTTAGTTGCAATCCAAATCTAGCGGTTGAACAAACGGATTTGAAGAGATAGACTTACCAGTGACAAAAAAAAAAAAAAAAAAAAGACTTACCAAGTAAGTCTGAGACAAAGAGCTTACCAAAACCTTTCAACTCTAAATTTATAGCTTCAAACGGACACAAGGTTCAACAAATATAGTGAGGCACCATAACCAAGTTTCTACAAAATATGGTAAGGGACTTTGATTTGAATGGTTGTTTAACAGAATCGCAGAATATTTTTTTTAGAACTTTAGAAGTTCATTATAATCCTAAGTTATTACTTATTACATAGATAAAGCATTGCCTGTTCTTCCTCATTTTGTTCTTTCGTTTATATAATACATAATACTCTCTTCATCTTAGCTCAATACACTTAGCTTGCCTGACTCCCTCTTTGAATGGATGTGTGCATATGCTTCACTGATCAAATATTCAGTTGAAAACAGTGTTTGTTAACATGCTTTAAGTCTTCTAGCTCTCTTGTATCTTCTTGATTAGGGAATTTGATTTGGAGAGTGATCCTTGAACACAATGTCACTTACTGGTCGCGTTCCAATGCTGTTGTTACACCCCTCGACTCGGTCTGCTTCGCTTACGGGGGTCACTCCATATATTTACAGAATCGATTCCAATTCTAAAATGCTGAGCAAACTTAACTACACAAATACATCATTTCATTCGAAACACATGAGAGCAACAACAGTTTTATTTGAAAGCACATACCCTAAACCAGTGAACATCCAGTCCCGTCAAGTCTAATCAAAGTCTCATAAACCAAAGGCATCGCAAAAGAGACTCGAACACAAACTCAAGAGAACATGAATCTTTAGGGCCTAAAAAGTTCAAAGTGTGAATCTTATTCCAAATCCCATGAAACCTGTTCAATTACATTTTAGCAAATCACCTGGAGATGCTACTAACAAGCCTAGCACCAACCTTATCAAGCTTCTTCACACAAGCAACAGCCTTCAAGTTCCCACCTCTCATAAAAGCTTCCACCATCCTCTCCCCAATCTCCTCCCCTTTCTCCACCCCATCAATCACCGCCACCGCCGTCGGTCCAGCCCCACTAATCGTACACCCAAACGCCCCCGCCTCCAAAGCCGCCTTCTTCACATCCTCCATCCCCGGAATCAACGGCGCCCTCGTCGGCTCCACAACTTTATCCGACGACAAAGCCTTCCCCAGCATCACCGCATCTCCTTCCAACACCGCCGCCACCAAAGCCGCCGCCTGGCTACTGTTCCAAACATGGTGAACCATCGGAATCTCCGTAGGCAAAGCAGCTCTCATCTTCTTAGTCGGAGCTTCGAACTCAGGGCTCACAAGCACAAAGAACAACTCTTTATCCTCAGGGAACCTCAACGCCTTCAGATCAAGCGGCTCGTAGCTCCTAATCAGAACAAACCCTCCCATGATCGCCGGCGCTATGTTATCCGCATGATAACCGGAGACTTTCGCCTCCGATTCCAAACCGGCCAAAACCAAAGCTTCCTTCCCTAACTTCCTACCGAAAATCTCGTTCACGGCCACCGCCGCCGCAGCGGCGCTGGCCGCACTGGAGCCCAACCCGCTACCTAAAGGAAGACCCTTGTGCAAATCTAGAGACAGCCCGACCGATCTGATCCCGAGCATCTTCATGGTGGCGATGGCGGCGATGCCGGCGCAGTTCCGGAGAGGGTTGGTGCTGAGTTTGGTGGTGGTTCCGGTGATGTCGGAGATTAGGATCTCGCCGGCGCGGACGGAGGGGTCGACGCGGAGAGTGACGTGGTCGCCGAGGCCGTCGACGGCGCAGCCGAGGAAGTCGAAGCCGGGGCCTAAGTTAGCGACGGTGGCGGGAGCGAAGGTTTTGACGGAGGTGAAGACGGGTTCTGGTTCGACGGAGATTAGGGTTTGTACGGAGGCTTTGCATCGGAAGAAGGAGAGTTTGGTGGGAAGGGGAAGTGAGGGTTTGGATTTGGGGTGGGGGAAGTAGGAGATGGGTTTGGAGGGTTGTTGGAAGCAGAGAGTCGCCGCCATTGATGAGAAACAGGTCAGTGAGATCAGATGAAACTAAACAACAAATATAAGAGAGGGAGGAACAAACGTGGCCACCTAACCTAATGTGTTCTTTTTTTTTTTGTAACACAACCTAATGTGTTCTGTTTTTTATTTTATTTACCGGTAAAGCGGCTTATTGCTTTTTTAGAGTGGAGTGTGAGATCAGATTCAGATAGCTACATTGAAATTAACGGCTTAACCACGGAAACCTCTAAACCGAAACCGGACCGGATAGCAAACAGTGGTAACCTACTCTGTCCAATACTTGAAGAAACCAAGCTCCAAGACTTCACCAGGAGACACAATGATGAGTGGTTAAAGACTCTGAGAAAGCTCTTAAATGATCCTCTACACTATTTTCTGCTTCTTTGTTTTTCTGAATCTTTCTAAGCTTTCTCTTTCTTTCTTTTTTCTAAGCTGTTTATTGTTATTGACCAACAACAACAAAACTTGTTGAAATTCAACTAACCGAAAGTAGTGAAAATCATGGAACAGTAAAGCTGATTAGTGGAGTGATATCAGAATAAGATATCGACATTTTACATTCCCTGACCAGTGAAACAATGTGTAACCACAACCTCAAACCGAATATTATAACCGGACTGGAAAAGCTTATATACCACCTTTGTCTGTCTTACAAATTCGAAGTAGTTTTGAAGGTAATATGCTCTAGCTTGAAGGTTTGGTAATTGTATAATGTTTACTCCAAATCTGCATCTAGGACAAAATCCCATGTTGTTTACATATGAGGTGTGTGATACTATCCCAGTTAAATCTCTTGGCACACTGAAAGATTGATCCTTTTCAGGTTAAACCTTCCCCTGGATTCTTCTTAGGCTTTCATCATCATATGCTTCAAACGAGAAGTTTCTGGTGAAGGTATATGTTTTCTTCTTTTTCTCTTCTGGCTTATGTTTGCAGACAACTTGAAGGTCTTCAAGTTGTAGATTCTAGAAGCTGGTTTGCCAAATTAATTTATATGCTTTTATTTGCATATTTATCTCTTTTTATATCCGCATATATTTGTTTCTTATTTTAAGTTTAGCATCGAACATCCAGGTTTAAGTGAAAAGTTTTTTTTCTCGCAAAAACAAATTTCTTCAAATAGACCAGACAACGAATGTATGGTGTGATATAGTGTGGGTGTACGTCTAACGACACATTCAGTATCAAAAAACAAAAACTATATCTGAACGATCAAAAGTACAAAACTTGGTATCACAAATCTTCCAATACCTGCAGTGTTTTTACTTTATGAGTTAGCTACTCTTTTGAAATCACTCAGCATTTGCCCTCCTCTTGAGGAATGGTGAATGTCCACCCTGGAAAGTCTGAATCCTCAAACAGAGATGTTGGAACCGCTTTGTAGAAGGCTAATGGAACTTGTTTTACCCTTCTTCGAATCTGCCATATTTTAAACATCTCCCCACAGTTAGTTTTTCTATACATGGAGACCAAAAGCAAGTGGTGGCTAATTACAACAAAGAGTTTATGTATAAGAAGCAGAAGGCTACGTTACCTCATCCCCGAAGATGGTGGCATATGAACCAGAGCTGAAATCTTCTATTTTCATTTCAGTGGTTTTCGCTCTGATAGTTAGATCAGTTTCCAGCGATGAAACAAACCTATACAAGGAAAGAGAGAGATATCATCAAGGAGATTACAAAATGTAAAAGATTATTTTTTTCTTTTGGATATTATTGTTTAGTGAGTAAAATGTACCTTGAAACAGGTGGGCAGTAATGGTGGCGCAATGTGTCAATCTCCCAAAGGGAACTCCCTGTTAACAAATAATGAATACCATAAGTTCTCTTATGAAATGGCCTCACAGGAAGCAAAATAACAACCTCGTTATAAGAACTTCATTTTGTGAGTGAATCTAGAGAAACATGGCATTTTAATCAAAGCTAATATATTTCGTTATGATACAGTGCCACCATTAAAAAAGTATAAATTTAAATAGGGGTGAAATTATGTGCTAAAGGCGTGGAAAATACATAGAGGGAATGTCAAATAACTTACTCATGGCACCAGTTTTCTTGAGATCCGTCTCCTGGCTGTTGAAATAGTCGATACCAAGCTTTTTGTTGGTCTTTGGCCTGCTCTCATTGTCTTCGTCATCCTCTAAATTGGCTTCATTGGCGTTCTCTACAGGTTCCTGCACACAAAAAAATGACCACTTGTGTAAGTCCATGCTTCTTATACAATATTTTATTCAGTCATGAGGAATAATCATATACTTTTTCGCATTTTCAAGCACTAAAAGAAGGTCATACCTGATGAACAAGGTGGTTGATTGTAGGATGTCTTCGCAACAGGTTGTAGATCAAAGCCGTTATGACCAACGATCCAGAGGGAGGAACAGAAAGTGACAGTCTACTTAGTTTCTTTGTGAATGAAGCTGCCAGATATGCTGGAAGCAAGGATGACCTAAGGCAAGCATCAAGAAGCTGCAGAAAAGCATTTCAGATATAGAGGGAAGAAGGATAACGGATTATAAATCAGTAATTCATTGGTCACTCAAAATCAGTAAATACCTGAAGAAATCTTGCTCGGTGCTTAGCCACAAAGACGGAAGGAACCAGCAAAGCATAGAGCTTTTCATAAAAGTTGGGATATTCTAAACCATGCTCGGTCATGAGGATGAAGAGGCTGCTTAGAGCCATCACACTGACAACTCCTCCGATATCATATGATTTTGTTAGGAAGTCGCTGCAAAGTTATCAGGCATTGTGAAACATATGTAAGCGATTATCAAGGGAAACAATATAGAGAACAACAAAAGCTTTGGTAAATATGCCCACCATAACATTGCAGGATTAGAGAGATGGGGAATGACTGTCTGGTGAATACTAGCAAGAACCTGATAATCACAAGATAGCATATTGGTAAGTTTATCCATGCCGTATTCCAAACAAAGGGTTTGCTGTGAAAGTAAATCAGCTAACCTCCTTGTAAACGTCAAGGGGAAGTGGCAGTCTGAGAAATGAGATCCAGGCTTTAGTGAACTTCAGCTTCATCCTCTTGGCAATTGTAGTGGGAGAAAGAAGCTAGAGTTTTGACAGAATAATATTAAGAAGCGAAAGTAAGCACTTCCACCGTAGGAAGAAAAAGTAATCAAATATTCAGTTAAGTATATTAAAGCAAATTTGCAAAGGAAAACTCACGTTGCTGTCTTGATCTTTATTCTTTTTCTTCTTCTCTTTCGGTTTCTCACTACTACTTTCATCTGATAATAGCGATAACCTTTATTAGCAACTCTAAACACAGAGGGAAAATCCTAAACGAAGTTTGAAACAAATAGTGAAACAGTCACCTGAACCACTCCACATCTCATGGTCAGACTTTTCAGCTTGTTTTTGAGGTGGTGGAATTCGAGATAAAACTTGATAGATCTTGCGAATAGAGAGTTCCATGCTACAAGTCAAGACAATTCAAGATCATCAACAACACAATAACAAAAAAAAAAGGTACATTCAAAAAATCTGGAAGAAACTGATACTGACCTGTCTTTCGATTCATTCTCAGTCTCACTATTTTCCATCACCGTTTTGTCAGCTACAAACGACAAAACCACATCAGTTATACACACAAAACACTTCCATAATTCCATTATCTATCTATCAAGAGGGAAGCCAAGAAAGGAAGCAAGAATAAGCGCACCAGAAACAGCTGAGGCTTCCAGAGTTTTAACAAACTTTTCCATGCTGATGTATGTAAAATAGCTGTATCATGAAACGATATTCAGAGTCCCAAAAACAAGCATATAAACATGATAAACCAGAAGAAAGAGAATACATATAATAAAACAAAGGGTCATCAATCCAAAAACGTACCGGACATCAATGAACTTGAAGTACTTTGAGTTAAGTATATCCAAGAATACATCAGTCTCAACTGCAGAATGAATCTACATAGACAATATTAAAACCATTAAAGCACTGGCGAATAATGAGCCAAAAAAAAAAAACTTTATTACATTAAGTCGGAACGAAACTTACAATAGCATTAAGTATCCTATTGTATATGGAAGAGTGAAACCTTCCAGCATTCAAAAGCTTCACAAACTCCATCAACGTCCCCAAAACAATATCCTAAAAAAACAAACCAATTCATTGTTAAAGCTACATAAACGACATCGTTTCACTAAACCACGAGAACAAAAGACAGAGAAGACAAGACAGTTATACCCTTAAAGTATCTTCCGACTGGTCGGAGTCAAGAACATCGAGTAGAAGCTTCACAAACTCGTCAAAATTCGATCTTAGCCACGCTTTAAAGACAACTTCAGGGTCCTCATCGACTTCAGCTGTCTTTTTCGTATCATCGTTGTCTTCTTCTTCTTCGGAACGAGGGCGTTTAGCAGAAGAAGGGTGTGAAGAAGAAGAAGAAGAAGAAGAAGACGAGGGGAGCTGAGAGAGGAGGGGAGTGAAGAAGGATTGGAGGGAGAGGAGGGCTTCGACTACGAACTGCGGAGGAGATTGGGGCGAGATGAAGGAGAGAAGGAGAGGGAGGTTGTTGATGTGAGCTCGGGAAGAGAGTAAGTCGCAGCCTAGTGATTTCAGCTCTTTCAAGGTGTAGTTTTCTTTCTTCTTCTGCTTTTTGGAGATGATTGACGCCATTGTTGAAGCTCTCTCTCTCTCTTGAGTTTGTGGCGGAGACAGAGAACGAAGAAAGGGTTTATGAGGAGAGAAAAACCTAACGAACGAAGTAGTTGATGCAAACGACGTCGTATTTTAGTACTCAGGAAAGAATAAATCATATCCAAGCCCCCCAGACAATTTAAGTATAAACGTTTGACCCCAATATTTTTTTATTTTACATTTATAGCTAGTATGATTATTAGGCTCTTTCAACATAGAAAATTAGAAACAAATAGTAGGCCTTCAGGATCGACAAGGTTGCTTAGCTCGGTTTTCTGGTAAATTAAACTGAAAACATGGCTTGATTTCGGTTAATTCACGTTTTCGAATTCTTACCACATAGAATTTTTTATTACTCGGTTAAATATTTGGTTAAATTAGGTTATTCCAGTTTTGGTTCTAAATTTTGGATCTCTATAATATTATTTGATAAGTGACTTTCTTAGGTGTCGTGCTCACGTTAACTCTCACGCTCGTTGATTACTATGATACCTCTAATGAATTAAAAATATATTTAAATATTATTATTTCCTTTTTAAAATCTTCCAAATAACAATATAAAACAAAAAAGAAATATTTCTAAAATTTACAAAACTATTTAAAAACGAAAAATAAGTATATATATAATATGGTTTCATAAAAAAAGAAAGTTTACAAAATAGTAATATTTAACTTAAATATATTTTTAAATAACATAAATTATACTTTTTAAGTAATTATACTTTATATCTATATCTTCTTAGATGAAAAAAATATTTGTATATAATGTGTTTTCATAAAAAAAATTCATACAAATAATCTTGATATTAGAAAAAGAAATATTTTTTCTTTAAAAAAACTAATTTAAACAATAAAATATATATTTTCAAAGTAATTAGTTTTTGTATATATCTATCTATTTTATTAGATGATTACATAAAATAATTAAGTAACATAAACTGATATATGTTTAATTGACAAAAAATATAATTAGTATATTTATTTGATTATAATATCTTACCGTTACAACAAAAAATTAAATTATATTTTACTTATATAATATAATTTCTCAAAAATAATCACATTTTTACTGCATAATTTAAGAGATATTAAAAACAAAACTAAAAATAAATTTAATGGTAGACATCTTTTGATCAGATAACTACAATTCTTTTAAAATATCATAACACTATATAATTTAACGAGGTAGATATATTATATTTTAATAGTTAAAATTATATATTTTTAATAACTCTTTTGATGTTTAATTTTCTGTGTTTATGTTTGTGGAATTTAATATAACCATAATCAAAATACTTAAGATAATTATAATTCTTTATTTTAAAAATTATTTAAAATAAATTTCAGTTTACCATCCAATCAATCTAAGGCATAAATTATTTAAAATTTCTAAAATATTTAATTATTGTAAATATTGATATGTTTTCATAAGCTTTTGAAAATTTATTATTACCTATGTATGTAATTTAGAATCAGACACTTTAGTTTTTATTTTTTTCGTTCTAAGCACAAAGAATATTAAAATACATAATCTTACTAAGATATACTTATGTTTCTAAGATAACAACCAACATAAATGTAAATAAAACAATTAATCAAAAGTTTAAGATATTTAGAATAAAAAAGATTATAGTTGAATTCAGAGAAATAGATAGAATTATATATATATATATATATATCCAAATGATAAACTAACTAAATATAATATATGTAAAATTATATATAACTAAAATAATATAATATTATTAATATAATTATACATAAAAACTATAAATTAATATAAAAGTTAAAGTAAATATCAATCAACTATTATAAATATTTATGCACGGGAAAATCACCTAGTATAATATAATTGAAGAACCAGTTTGGTTCGGTACAAATAGATTTTAGTTTGGTTGGAAATTCTGCAAAACTTAAACAAACCAACCACTGAACTAAACTGAAATACTTTTGGAAAATCGCCGATCAGTTCAGAACCTATAACAAAACTTCGGTTCAGGTTCAGAACCGCAGAGCTACTACAGGTTCGAAATTTAAGTGTATGCGTAAACGATAAGATTTTGATACTGAGGCATTACACAAAACACCGAATGTAAGATGTAAATTGAGCAACTAAACGTGAGAAAATTTTGATTTCCCTTTTCTTTTCCAAAAAAGAACTACAAAACTGAGAAACAGAAAGGCTCTTGGATCTCGTGGTATCCATCTTCTTCTTTTCGTGGGTAAACTATATAAAAAAAAAGAAAACTATTGTTGCTTCTCGGGTTGTTCGTCTTCTTCTTGGTCAGGGTTTTCTTCTTCCTCTTCTTTCTTCTCTTCCTCTTCTTCTTCGTCTTCTGCTGGAGGATCGTAAGGCATTGGCGGTGGCAGTGGTGTCTTCATTGGGCTAAACTTTGGGAAAATGTCTGGCCTCCTCCCAGGTTTAGGCCTCTCCCACTCCTACCAGTAAGATCACAACAACACACAATTGTTTCCGTAGGAAAAAAATACTAAAGAACATAACTCTTGAACATGCATTTTCAAGTCAGATCACAGACGTCGACTATTATTATGAGAATGGCAATATAATAACGAAAACATGTAGATTATCTAGTATTCATAACCAAAACTATAGAGAAAAATAATTGGATTCTGATCCCTTATAACTAAGAGTATACATAACACTCTAATATATATGCACACTCGAACGAAATGACGAATTAATAATCAAACTGGATTTATGAGTATCTTTTTCTAAAGACAGAACAAATGAAATGTAAAACATATAGGTTCACAGGAAAAGAAGAACACAACTATGCCCTGACACAACACCGATTCGACCAATAGCTACTTCAAACTAGACCTTATTAATTACGGCTAAATAGGAAAGAATGGGAGACTTACGATTGGGAAATCAAGAGGATTGCGACGAGTAAGCTTCTCTTCCTCGGGAGCCATAGCCACAACGCGCAGATGATTCTTCGCTCTTCTAGCCATCCCAACGCGAGACGAAGAACGGCGTACAGACGAAGAGCAAGTAATCGAGCGCGTGTCGTGTACCGAAGACGCCTTCGTTGGAGATTGAAACCCTAGAGCATCGAGCGCAGAGCAAAGCGACGCCATGGCTCTCTCCGGACGGAGGGTAACTAATCGATTTTCCACCAACCAAGAATTATCGTGACAACTTCCTGAACGAAGCTTATGGTTTGCGTTTTGCTATTGGGCCTAGAGCCTTCATGGACTTGTTTTCGGTGGCCCATTAACACTAAAACTAAAAAGTCATCGTCATTAAAGACAAGTCACAGTCAGCTATGTGGTTGGCTCGTCTGGCTTGTACTCACAAGATTCTTTGGAAGATGAAAATTTTTAAGACATGTGAACTTGTTTTTCTTGCTTCTTTTTGCTTTCATCTGCATTTTGTACTTTGTGTAGGTTCTTTTATTGATTCTGCTTTGTTTGTCTATATGTTAATACTGTAAGCTCGAAAAATTAGTGACAGTGTCTATTAGCACTAGCAGATGAGGTCTTCATAAGAAGATCGAGATGTATCTAGATAATCGAGAAAAGAAAGGCTGTTAGGAACTGATGTGGACAGCAGTGTTGGTCTTGGAGTTAGGCATAGCCGCATACATGCAAACAAGATAGTTTGGTGTTATCACAATTTTAGGATATATATTGTGAATATAGTCCTAGATTTAAATATGCGTTTTAGAATTAAGCTCTGACAATTCTACTTGTATCACACTAAACCGTATCATTTCGTTAATCTGCATAATTAATTACAGATCACATTCTTTGGGAATCAAATCTTCTCTATTAAAAGAGAAGTACCATTTATATCTACTACAAAAAGTCATATTGGACCATCTTATTAATATGACATATTTAATTATTTATAATAATCAATCAAATATATATAATTGGAGGAATATTTTAAGATATTAGTAATAAATTTGTTAAGAAAATATCTAACAAGATCTTACTAAGAAATTTAAATATTTTTTTAGAAAATATGCATTATCTAATTTCATGATTAATATATATATATATAAATACCTATATTAATGTTAATTAAAAATAAAAATTGTTATATTTTATAATTTAGTTATATTCTATATTATATTAAAAAATTTCTTATATTCAAATAAATAAATAAATATCACTCACTTTTAAAACATATTAAAGTTTTTAAATCATATAATATTTTATACAAAAAAAATTTAATATATATTTTTCTAACTCATAACAAATACATTATATAAAAAATTATATATGAATACTTTTTTATTTTAAAACTTACAACAATATATTCTATGAAAATAACTAAAATTATAAGATTATACAATTATACAATATATAACAATAGAATGTAAATCATATATATTTGAAAGGTTTTCTTATATTTTTATAAAATGAAAAAGACCCGCACGGATGTGCAGGTTCAAAATCTAGTTACCTCTTAATATAGAAGCATTATATCTGTTGCTAAAAAGAAGGCATTAGATAGTTGATATTTTGATTAGTTTTCAATCCCTTTTTGTTACGAATATGATACTATGATGAATCAAGTACTTCCTTCAAGAATGTTCTGCAAGGTACATCACCTGCACATGTGACATGTGCCTCGAATTTCCCCCCGCCAATTTTAACACCGTCTCGCCAAAGACCTGCAAACCCAACAACCGCCGGATAATAAGGCGAAGCGGATAAGAAAGAGGTTTGAGAACCTTAAGACAGCTCCAATATTCACAGATATGACACGACAAATACCAACACTTCAGATCCTACGTGCGCCCACCACAACATTACTGCCTCCAACGCCTAACAACCAAACGCAATATATCCCACTATCTAACCACAAAAATGAAGCATCATACAAACAAAAAAAAGACGAAAGGAGATTTTCTCACGAAAATCATGTCCTTTATTAATAACTTTTCTTTTGTGCTTTTCATACATAGCCGTTTTCAACGTTGTCGTCTTCACGCGTTTATTAATTCTGAAAATTCAACACAACTATGGTACAGATATTCTAAAACATAAAGAGTATTTAAATTTACAGAAAGAATAAATTCAAGCTTGAACTATCATTTCAATTGTCAGAATACATCCAAGAATATAACAATAAAACTCTAAAACCAAATATATAGTAGTAATCTAGATCATTTTTGAACTAATTTATAGTAGTAGTCATCAGTCATGTGGTGGTATATGTTTGGTGTGATTTATAATCATTTTTTTTTTCCAGTTTTAACTTGGTAAAATGGTCGAGCTAGTAACTATTTCAGACAGATAGTGACTTGTTGAAAAGTTGAAAAGAAGAAAATAATGTTAGGCTAATTGTTGTGGAATTGATTGATTGGCCACGGCAACATTTTATATTATTTTCAGTTGACTTGACCTTAAACTAAACATTCTCTCTCTCTCTCTCTCCTCCTCCGTCCTCAAATCCTGGCAACACAACAATCCAAAGACTCAGTCTTCTCTTCCCTCTCTCAATGGCATGGTAACACCGTAACCATTTGTTTGTGCTTCTCTTCTACTCCATACAATAAATAATTTAGTCCGAGAAGAGAGAAAGAAAATAAATTTCGTCGAGTTGGAGAGAAAAAAAAATTATCCTTTTTTTGTCAAGTCATTCACACCCAATTCTCTATCCATCCATCCTTGTTCTGTCTTTTCTGGTAAAGCACTCTGTTTTACATTCACACGCTATTTTTTCCTTTCTCATTGACTTCTGTAAATAGTGTATGGATTGTATATACAAATACTTGTAAAAGAGGTAGGAAGTGTTTTGGCTTTTAATTTTGTTTGTCGGTATGGGGCTTTGCTGGTCTTCTCCATCTAAACCTCCTTCCATAACAACAACAACACCTAGCTCTACCGGTAACATCAGTTCAGGTTCGTCCTCTCAGTCTCTCTATATGGGTTTCACTTAAACTTTTGTAATACGTTAAGATTCATCTGCAAAACCAGTGTTAGTTTTATGTTCGATGCATAAAGGTTACTCTTCTTATACAATCCTTGTATGGTTAAGCCTCGGTCAAACGATGAAACCTTCTGTTAATTTTATTTAGAGTCTTGTTTTGTTGTTTTCTCATATGGGTTTTACATAAAGTTTCCTCCTTTTAATGTTGTGTCTTTTGTTTATGATCTGTTTTGTGATCGAGTGTTTTGGGCTTGATCTTGTTTTAGAATGGTTATTATTGAAACAGGTCCATTTAAGTCAACAACTACTGGAACATCAAGAAGTACCATATCTAATTTTAGTGGGTTCTCTGCGACAAGTGGTGAAGATGCTCACCCTGAAGGTCAGATACTTCCCAATCCAAACTTGAGGATATTCAACCTTGCAGAACTTAGAGCTGCAACGAGGAATTTCAAATCTGAGAATGTTCTTGGAGAAGGAGGGTTTGGGAAAGTATTTAAAGGCTGGCTTGAAGAGAAAGGCCCTGGGAGTCACAGTACTGGTTCTGTGATTGCTGTCAAGAAACTTAACTCTGAAAGCTTCCAAGGCTTTGAGGAGTGGCAAGTGAGTAGAGTTTTAACTTAACAAATGATATGCAATGAGTAGTAGTGTTTGTTTATTTGATGGAGTTTGTTTCTGTGTAGTGTGAGGTGAATTTTCTTGGGAGGATTTATCATCCAAACCTAGTGAAGCTGTTGGGATACTGCTTAGAAGGTGATGACTTGCTTCTAGTGTATGAGTATATGCAGAAAGGGAGCTTAGAGAATCATCTCTTCAGAAGTAAGAACCATCTTTTACTCAGTTTAGATGTTATGGTTTGCATGATTTGTAATTGCTTCTATTCCACCAGAGGGATCTGTTGTTCAGCCGCTCTCATGGGAGATAAGGCTTAAGATCGCAATAGGAGCAGCTAAAGGCTTAGCGTTTCTGCATGCTTCAGAGAAGCAAGTAATCTATAGAGACTTTAAAGCTTCAAACATTCTACTTGATGGTGTAAGTAATTAACATAATGGCTTATGGGTTTGATAATATAGCAAATATCATCAAGCGTGGAGTGAGTTTAACTTGTTTCATCTTTGTTGCAGTCTTATAACGCAAAGCTATCAGATTTTGGATTGGCCAAGTTAGGTCCTTCCGAGAGTCAATCTCACATCACAACACGAGTTATGGGTACACAAGGTTACGCAGCTCCAGAGTACGTTGCCACAGGTACTAAACACAATGTCTTAATCTTATTGGTTCTTTTGGTTTTTAAGTACAAACTGTGCTCATGTTGGTTGGTTCTTGACAGGTCACCTGTATGTAAAGAGTGATAACTACGGGTTTGGTGTCGTTTTGGCTGAGATCTTGACTGGTTTACGTGCGCTTGATCCTCTCCGTCCTACAGGGCAACACAATCTAACAGACTGGATCAAGCCTCACCTGTCTGAAAGAAGAAAGCTGAGGAGAATAATGGACCCTCGTTTAGAAGGAAAGTACCCTTTCAAATCAGCTTTCAGAGTAGCTCAACTGGCTCTCAAATGTCTTGAAACGGAACAAAAGAACCGTCCGTCGATGAAAGAAGTGGTGGAATCTCTCGAACTCATATTAGTAGCTGCCAATGAGAAACCCTTGGAGCGAAGGACCACTAGAGCTTCCCCAAGTATAGGTCACCAACAAAGCCACTATCGCCGGGAACATCTGGCTTCGTTTCAACCTAGACAGACCGTGGCTCGAGCTCACTAGTGTTGTGTTTTGGACTCACGTGATTCTTTTTCCTCTCTCTCTCTCTCTCTCTCTCTCTCTGGTTTTGTATTTGTTTAAGATAATTAGAGAACAGTTCTTGTGTGTGTGTATACTATATGTAAACAAAAGACAAAGCATATGTTGTAACTAGTAAATGTGTGTATACTACGTGTAACCAAAAGACTAAGACACATTACGCTGTTTGGTTTGACGCATGCTCTGTTTCAGAAAACTTGAGAACATTCAAATGGGCTGTCCGGAGAGGCTTTAGCCACATTACTCTTGCATTATTGACATGTTTAGTCACAACGATGGAACTAATCAAGAACCTTCCAGAATAAGTATAACCCGGGGTAGTGCTTGGGGATCAATTCTGAGCGGCTGCACTGCATGAACTGTTAAAAACAAGAATATTAAAATACTTTTAATATTTTAGTAAATTCGATTTCTGGTTATAAAAATTAAAATTCATAAAATGTTACTATAAAATATGAATATAGTTATAATTTGAATAAAACGGAAATAATGAAACCATAATAAATGTAGTTTAACATAATAAGGATGTTACAAAAAAAAAAAACATAATAAGGAAAAACGCTTCTCAGTGTTATGCAAATGTGTTGGTCATTAGGATTATCGACATATATTTTTTTTGAAAGATTCTCAGAATTTGGTATATGCTATTCTTTTTTGCCCACAAAGGTCTGTAGTAACAAAATATTTGGACCACAAGTGTCTCATGGGCTTCTCCAAATCCCTTAACCTTTGATCATTCTCACTCCTATCTTTTAATATTTTCTTTAATTTTTTTTGGGTCAAAATATTTTTCTTTAATTATTTTTTTTTGATAAAATGTTAAATTTATACCATTTTCTATCTTAAAATATTGCGTACAACTTATTATGCAGAAAGTAAAGAAACACACCAATACAACCAAATTCAAAACCGTGAACAGCCTCAGGGAGGCCTAATACAAAAGAATTAGAACTACAACAGAGAAGGTGAAGAATCTGGCGACGGATAGAAGAGGAGACGATCCCTGACTAGGTGGTCCACTGCTCCACGGATACCAGCAGCAGAGGTGGAGACAGAGGTAGAAATACGAGCATTATGCTCTCTCCAGATGAGGTATACGACGGATTGAAAGATCAACTTGATGAGAAGTGGAGCTTGAGATGGATGGTGAAGGCGGGAGATCACTGCAGCAGCTGAGGGAATGTCAAAGCAAGCTGGAGATAGAATGGCTTCGGCGAAATGCTTCCAAATGCTGGAAGAGAACTCACATTCAAAGAAGATGTGGTGATGTGTTTCATATTTGAAGCGCAAAGAACACATTCTTGTGGGACATTGAGTCCCCATCTTCTAAGTCTATCACGCGTGGGTAGCCTTCGTAGGAGAGCCAATCATGAGAGAAAGGCATTGCATGGTATATATTCTTTAAACCACACAACCTTATTCCAATAAATAGTCAGGGATGGCTGCCTGATATGCTCCCAAGTTGTCTTGGAAGAGAAATTAGTCCCGAAGCTTCCATCTTGCTTCCGCCAAAGGTATTGGTCTGCACCATTGTTCGATGACATAGGAGGCATAGTGGTAAGGACGATTTGCAATGTCTGAACTGCATGTGATCGAGCAGGAGGAAGTAGCCAAGATTCCTCTCTTGCAGCCTCTGAGACAGTAGCTTGTTTACCAAGTATGAGCATCTGAGGACCATTTTCACCAATAACCGAGATCAAAGGCCCTAGCAGGGTCCATGTGTCATACCAAGAGGAGCAAGTAGTCCCATCCTTGACATTGCAACGCATGAAGTCGTTCAGCAGAGGCCTGAGTTGGATCATACTTCTGACTGTAGGGGATAAACGGCTTGATTCCTGCGTTTGCCAAAAACCATTTCTCCCAAATACATTTTCCTGCAACCAAGCAACCCATAAAGATCCAGAGTTTTCAAAAAGATTCCTGACCCGTTTAAGCCTGGACACTAGCTGGAAGTCCTCCAACAACCAAATGCCCACTCCACCTTTAGCCTTAGGCCGATATACATCTTTCCAAGCAACCCGAGAACCTGAAGCAGAAGTGGTCTTGTTCTTCCATTAGAAACCGGAACATAGAGAATCAATCTTAGCATAGAAAGACCTAGGGGTACAAAGACCGCACTCCAAAAGTTAACCATTCCATATATTTCAGAGACCACCAATCTGATTTTACCGGCGAAAGATAAGTATTTGACTGTCCAAGAGTGTAACTTGCCAATAATCTTGTCAATAAAAGGTTTCAGAGTTTCCATCGTAATCCTTGAAGGATTCAAAGGAAATCCTAGGTAGCGAGTAGGGAAGGTTCCAATAGAGAATCCAGAAATATCCGCTATAACCTGAACCGAAATCTGATCGTAGCCCCCAAAGAATATCTGATACTTTACCGGGTTCATGCTAAGACCACTCATTCTTCTGAAACTTTCCATCACTCAACAAAGACCTCTAATAGACCATCGAGAGCTGTTGGAGAAGACCAAAAGGTCGTCAGCAAATAGTAGATGGGTGATTTTAGGTTCAAAGCATCTCGGATGGGGTCTTATACGGCCGAAGTCTGCAGCTTTGACGAGGAGACTATAGAGTACATCCATCACAAATAAGAAGAGGTATGGAGATAACGGGTCCCCTTGACGTAAACCTTTTTTACCTGGGAAGAAACCTGCCAGTTCACCATTTATAGCTACTAAGAATCTAGGAGATGAGATACATTCACTGACCCAGCGTTTGAAGATATGAGGAAAGTTCTGGGCTTCTAGTAGTTTAAGAACAAAATCCCAAGAAACAGTGTTGAAAGCCTTCTTAATATCTACTTTCAGCATGGAGCTTTTCTCACACCTTGCCTTTCCATAATCCCTGATAAGTTCAGAAGAGAGTAAGACATTTCCACCAAGACTGCGACCCTTCAAGAATGCCGATTGGCTTGGACTTATGCTGTCTTGCAAGACCCCTTTAAGCCTGTTGGAGATGAGCTTGAAAATAATCTTGTAAATCAGGTTGCAACAGCTTATCGGTCAAAAATCTCCAACCTTACAAGCCTGAGGAACTTTAGGAATCAAAGCTATGGCTGTGTTGTTCAAGTCTTTTAACAGCATGCCATTGAGGAAGAATTCGTTCACAGCTGCAATAACATCTGGTCCAACAATACTCCAAGCTGAACGGAAAAATTCAATGGAATATCCATCAGGACCTGGGCTTTTATTAAACGGCATAACAAATATCGTTTTAGTTATCTCCTCGGCAGTGACGGGACGACTGAGCATCTCACATTGGACATCTGAACACCTGAAGGATATAAGCTCTTGAAGATCTCTGATGGAGCAGGGAGACACATGCATGTCAGTGTGCCCCAGAATATTCTCAAAGTAAGAAGCACAATGTGCTTTAATCTGATCCATAGAGCATATGTACCCATCATCCTCATCTCGTAAGTAGTTGAAGCTCAGTAACCACAACTGATTGATCTTTCACTCTCTGAGCTATACCACTGAAATGATTTTTGTTAAGACCACGTAGAACACCTTTTAATAAATTCAGGGATCTTTGCAACTTGAACTGGTATGTACCGTGGATAGTGACACAATTCCACGCTTCCTTGACTGAATCCAAATACTTGGGATGATCAACTATATGGTCAAAGAATTTGAAAGGTTTGACTATCCAACATCTTAGAGAAGGCATGGAGACCAAGCAAGGAGCGTGGTCAGACTGCTCAGGCTCAAGAAACTCTCCAAAAGCATCAGGAAAGGACTGAGCCAGTGCTGGTTAACGAAGAGGTGATCTATCCTTTTGGATATTGGGTTATCATTATGATTGTTACACCAAGTGAAAGGCATGCCCTTAGTGTGAGACTCAAATAGTTCAGCTTCCTCGATAGCGAGGGTGAAATCGTCAATACCTGCAGCATCAACATCAATATACGGGTGTCTAGAGTGCTGGTCAGATCTGAGAATTTGGTTGAAATCTCCCACAACAGCCCAAGGACATCGAGAGACAAGAGTAGAAGCATTAAGGAGAGCCAATTCCTTCCAAAGAGAAGACCTTTCTGCGGCCAAGTTGTACGCATAGATAAAGGAAACCGTGAGATTAATATTCTCAGCCAAAACAGAGAAACCACATGTGACTGCCTGCGCTGAAGCTTGATAGAGTGTCATAATCACCGAATGATGCCAGACAATGACAATTCTTGCAGTGCCATGATGAGTTGAGTTCTCAAAAAACTTCCAACCAATTAGAAGATCATTAGATATCCGTCTTGAATTAATAGATTGTATGTGTGTTTATAAACATGCACCAAAAAGTGGCATGTGGGTTGTAATCCACTGCTTGACCGAAGTGTGGCGTTGGTTGTTATTCAGCCCTCGTACATTCCACGCAAAAAATATTATAAAATGTTGGATTAGTGTTTAGTCTCCTTGCGGCTACTCTTCCTATTCGATACCAGGAGAAAAGGATTAATGGAGAGACGTTCCTCTGACTGAGTGTGAGCTGAAGATGACTCATTCTCATCATGAAACACCACTACTGAAGCGTTTCAACCCATAGGACGATCAAGGTAAAAGACTGGGCTGGAAGCAGCTGCCTCATCTGCAACATATGAGTTTATCTTAGGCGTAGAAGGTTCTCCTGCTGGAGCTTTAACGATCTCTCTTGAGTGTTGAGATGGTAGTGGCTCACCAACTACATCAGGCTCAACAGCAGGCTCAATAACAATTGTATCTAAAGATGTTGCTTCCTTATTAAGATTCATGCCCAAATTTGTCACAGTGTTAACACTTCTTAGGAAGCCAAGGATAAAAACTGCAATCTCAAACTCCTTGCATTAGAGAATCCTGAAACAATTGTACTTGGGAGCTCAGCTAGGAGGTCAACTTTAACCCAAAGCATAGCCACTTCAAAGTTTTCTTTCCTTTCAGTTTCAGGGGCTAGAGAGACCGGTTTACCAATGGCTGTTGAAAGTCAACTCAAATTCTGCTTATTGAAAAATAGGTAAGGCACTCCCCGCATCTCAATTGGGACGATCGCTGTAGTAAACTGAGGTTCTTCATGAGAGAAGTCAGAGGACCAAGGCGCTACGAATATGGGGCTACCTGCAATCATCCAAGCAGATCGACTCAAGAGGATATGTCTTGTCCTCTCATTAGTGACCTTGAGGAGAAAGCAGCCTTCACCAACTTTATGCACAAAGATTCTCGGTTCTGAACAAGCCCAAATTGCGTTCAAAACACTTATAATACGCTGACGGG